GGAAAAAACCATCCTTTCCACAGCTCTAACTTGGACTACCTCCAGGATCCCATAGCAGCAGGCAGATGTCAGCACCTCTTTTGGTCATTGTACAGAAAGCTAGGGTCAAAAATCCTCCTTGAACTGTGTGAGAATGTCAGACCCTCTTGCCAATGTTTTGCAGCAGTGCAGCCCCAGGCCAGCTGAAACACTGGCTCTTTGCTATTGTTCTCACATGCAGTCCCCAACTGGGAAGCTTCCTCGTGTATTCCCACCTTTGGCTGGCCTCCCAAGACTTATTCACAGTAGTAACATCTGTCACAGAGCAAACTCAGTCAAAGTTGATCCCAGTCTCCAATAGTCCTGACCAGTCCTTCCTTACCTATCAGTAACAGGTCCATAAAACACCTCAGCTTGTCAGCCCCAGGAGTGAAGGGCTGGACCAGCGCTCAGCAGTTTAGTTTGAGCCAAGGCTCTGATGCACCAAGGTGAGCAGATCCCCGTGACCCACAGCAAGACTCCAGCTGAGCACACAGCTGCTGTTCCATGGAGGCTGCTGGCCCCCTTCAGCACAAGCTGCTGCACCCATGAACTGCACCCAGGAGCTGCACTCCAAGCCAGCTCTTCCACTGGCATCTCCTTGGCACCTGCTGCTAAGCTGCCTGGCGGCAATAACGGGGCTCGGCTGGAACAAAACCTCCCAGCACCCTTTGTCTAGGGCACACTCACAGATCTTCCTAGAAGCTGTCAGAGCAGGTAGATTCTGCTAGGAGCAGCCACAGCTTTCCTTAACCACCCCTTCCTTAGAGCATCATCAGACACGCTGATGTTCCTCAGAAGTCCCCCAGCAATCCCTGAAGAAGCTTCTAAAAGATCCTGAAGCAGAACCAGGGAACTGCAGCAGTGAGTGCTGTGCCCATGGCCACCTTGGCTCTCTGGCCAGGGAGGACGGCAGAGGGCAGCTTCTCTCACAGCCCTTCCTCAGCATGAGTTTTACCTCTTCACTTTTACTGAGGACTAACATATCAGCAACAAAGCACAGTCGCAATCAAATCATATCACAAATTAAAAATAGTTGATGAAATTTTGTCAAAGACATGAATTGCCAAGTGCCCCTTCCTTGTTTGCCATCAAATCATCAAGCTCAAAGTATGGCATGTCCAAAAATATGGTTGTCCAAGGTGGGGAGGGGGGGGGAGGGAATGGGGAAGGGGAAGAAGTCACTGCTTACTCACTGCACAAAATAGTCAGTGCTGTTCCCCCTTGTGAAAGTCACTGCACCATTTCCCCATGCCACAGAAAAGATCAGGGGCTGAAGAGCCCCACCTGAGAGATCTGTGGGTGGGTTCATCCCCATTGCCAGGTGAGGGGGTGTGGCAGGGGCATGGAGTGCCCCTATAAAAAGGGGCTGCTGAGACTGTAGTAGTGGGCAGGTGTTAGTCCTTGTCCTGTTTGTCTCTTCCAGGATGGCTGGCTTGAGAGTGGACTTCAGCGTGCTCCTGGAGCCTCTGGGCTTTGTTAAGGTCCTTGAATGGGTGAGTGGGGCTGTTTCCTCTCTTTCCCCAGGCCTGGCTTTGCTCCTGGGCCTGAGCTGGGTAGAGCTGAGGAGGTGTGAGCTTATGGGCTGCCACCTCCCTGTCCCCAGTTGCTGGTGGTGGCTGTCCAACACGAGGCTGCTTGTCAGCCAAGCCCTCTGGCTGGCAGAGGAGAAAACACTTCTGCAGGTACATAAACTTGGTGTGTTAATTACAAGTGTGTTACAGTCCCTTATGGTGCTGTGTGTTGTGTATTCTGATGATCAGGGGTTTAGTGTTTGGCTAGTGACCAAAGGGAAAATAAGAGCAACTTATGGAGTTAAGTTAATGTGTGATACTCTGAGCATGTACCTTCTGGTTACTCTAACTTACAGTTCTGGATAGCTGAGACTTGTAAAAATATTTCCCTGACCAACCGTAAGAAATACTGTGCTGGTTCTTAGCATAAAAAAAAAAAAAAAAAAAAAAAAAAAAAAAAAAAAAAAAAAAAAAAAAAAAAAAAAAAAAAAAAAAAAAAAACCAACCTCAGACAAAAAACTTTTTCCATACAATTAGAAATAAACACAAAGTGCTTCCAAATGGGCTGTTGTTAGCAGTGTTGCTTTTGGTTTTGGTTACAGAAACTCAAAATTCTCTTCTTGATATCACTTCATACTTCAACTTTGTCCCTATTTCTTGTCATCTTTAGCTGTTTCAGCTGATTGTTGAATTTGTTTCCTTTGAGCTTAAGCGATGTGCACTAATGTGTCTGTGTATCAATTCCTATAGATCTTTGCCATTTTTGCTCTTGCCACATGTGGAGGCTTTCAAGGTAAAACTACCCTTCTAGTTTCCTGCAAAGGTGTGGTAAACAAAACAGTTACAGCTGCTTTTGCTTATCCATTCAGGTGAGCATTAACTCTTCAGTTGTCACTGGGTGATTATTTATTATTCTCTTTTTCCTTCTCTATCTCCTTCTGATTACGTACTTATTGTATATATCTGAAAGAAGACGTGAAGCTTCTGGATTGCTCTGTAGAAGCAATAAATAAATATTTAGTTGTAATTGTTCAAAGCACTGTAGCTGTTAGTGCTTTATAGAAAGAAGTAGGTAGAAATGGCAGTGGGCTCTGTTACTGTTTTGTATCTCTCTGCCTTAAGCTCTAGTCTAGCAGTACATGAATGCTAGAGGAAGTAATTAGTAGGCAAAACAATACAATTAATTCTAACAGCGTAATTCTTCATCAATTTGTAGCTGTTTTGAAGGCCTAGATAAGATTATTTTGGATATGGATTATCCTGCTTCTTTTGCAAAGACTGAATGGCAAATAGATACTTTTCAGTTTATTCCACCATTGTCTTTCTGAAGGCGTTGGGCACAGAAAAACTAAATACTCCAGTGTCACTGCGGTGGTCTTGTAGAGACAAGTTTCTTTTCTGGAGCAGGAGGAGGAAGGCTTCCTCTTTGCTCTTGCAGCTGCACAAATGCAATTAGCACAGGGTCGGTGTTTCATATGTGTTCAATAAACGTAACTACTGAAATGGATTCAGAAGCCAGCTAGTGAAAACCACTATGAAAGTATAGAATTTGGCCACAAAGCCCAGCATTGTTAACAGCATTTGGAGGGAGGACTGGGGATCTGAAATGATTTTGTGCCGGTTACTGAGTGGTCACTGCTAGTCACACGGGTTTTATTCAACTTCTGGGCTTGCCTTTTCTTGCAGCTGAAATGCAACTGTACCTTTTAAGTCTCGATCCCCTTGTTCAATTGCCAGTCTAAAATTATGTTGTTAAGTCTGCTTCCAAATTGTGATTTCTCAGTTCAACTAAATAAGATTACTATTCTTCTCCTGAAGGTACTACTGTAAATCTCAGTGTAGGGTGGGGAACAATCTTCAGATAGCTTGACAAATGTGTTGTATAACTGCTACATTACACAAATATAAATAATCTTACAAAGTAAACTTACCCAGCCAGAATGCTGAAGCACTGTTATTGTGAAGCATGACTGTATGAAGTTCCTATTGTATAACAAACTTTAACTACATGAAGGATATAATCTTTGCAGGTTGAATACTGTTGAATTTAGTGCACCAGACCCAAAAGGCTGTGCTGGTACTTGGACTGATGTCCATCTCGTGGGCAACTTCTCCTCTTCTGCACAGTTCTTTGTTACACTTGGGTCGCTGGTGTTCCTCTACTGCATTGCTGCCCTTGTGGTATATATTGGATATAACCATGTGTATCAGCAAAATAACAAGTTTCCACTAACTGTAAGTAGTACTAAGATATTTTAATGTTTTGACTTTCAAACCACAAAGAGGTGAGAGATACTGCTACTGCAAGAATAGCTCGTGAATATTCAGTAGTTCTGATAGTCATGTGGAGTGTGAGCACAAATATCTTGGACTAGTTGCTACAGCACTCCAGCAGAGAGGGAGGCCCAAAGCCCTTGGACATCTATGGCATCATACCTTATGCAGTTGCTGAAGCAGAGTGGAATGAATTTTCACCTTCTTGAGTGAACAATGTCTCCACCACACCTTTTCTATCACGTATTTGAATGCACAGTTGTTTCACAGGTGGAACCTCTTCTGTTAATCTGTGAGAATTTTCCCTGTGTAGCGCACCTGCTGTGCAGATGCAACTGGCAGAGCGAAATAGTTACCTTGTAAATTTTCGTCACCTTAAAATAAATATCCAAGCCTAGAATGAGAAGTTTCAGAGCATGCTCAGAAATGGGCCCAGTGATCTCAGGCCAGATTTAAATCATTTGCCCCTTCTCCCCAGTCACCCCCACTTTTACTGAACTTTGACTTAAATTTAATGTAGAAGTTGGGCATCTGATTTTTAGAAACAGATTTCTTATGAAGGATAAGATTGCTTATGTTTTATAGATGCAAAGGTTTTGTACCTGATCGTCAACATTGTGCTGTAATTGCAACATTGTTAATGACTAAACTTGCTAGTGATCATTAGCACTGATGCAGATACATTGGATATAATTGATACTGTCTCTGCCTTGCTCTTGTGTACATTCCTGCATTTTTTTAACCTACTAACAAATACTTCTCATGTATAGGACTTGGCTATCAGTGTCTTGACAGCCCTTCTGTGGCTAGTCAGTACTTTTGTTTGGGCAAAGGCACTTGCTGACATCAAAATGTCCACAGAGGCCAACATTATTCCAGGAATCGGAGCTTGCAAAGCACCAGGAACAACGTGTAATTTTGTTTCCGTGACCAGCATGGGAATTCTGAACTTGTCTGTGGTATGTATGCCTTTCACCATAAGGGTACAATAAATGTGTTGGAAAATGACAAATGGCACCTGAGAGTCCTGTTCTACTGATTGCATGTACTGCTTTGTGTTAAAATTGCTTTATGTGTTATTAGTGATTCAGGCCCACTAATGATGTGGTAAAGCACCAACCAAATTCTTTTCTTTAGAAGAAAACTTAATTTCTTTGAGGAAGCAAGATAAACAACTTGTAGAGTCTATTTCTGAAGCTGTTAGATACAGCATTTTCAGACACATTTGAGTCCCTGTTATTTATATCTGTAGACAAGAGCACCTTAAAATGTTACTGAGCCACCCAAGTGATTTGCTGGCTGATGTAAGGAAGAAACACTGATTCCTGCTGTCTTTTGGTGCCAAACCCAGCTTTTTAATCGACTGTGAGAATTCTTCCACAACAAATCAAGGTTCCTTGTAAGACAGTGATATAAAGCTCATGTTCAGAGAAACAATGCTTCAGAGCAGAGCAAATTAGGCTTATTGTATGATCTTCCTAGTGAATTCTCCTCTTCAAAGCCCTGGCTGTTATTCATTGTCCCAGTAATAATTAATCATGTATTCTGGGAGTGCATATGCAGAGCTGCTGAGTGACTGAAAAGAATTTGTCTAATTCTGTGCAAAGGATAGAGAAAGTTGACTATCTGATCTCCAAAGAAGTCTGCTAAAATAGCTTGTCATACTCTAAAAAATGCCAAAATGTCTTGTCCAAGTCAAAAGGGTGCCAAGAATGGTGGCTGTTCATGGTTTGCGAGGCATATTGTTTTGTGGGGTGGTTTGTTTGTTTGTTTTTTAAAAAAAAGGCAAAATAACCAAACACAACCTACTCAATCTCACTTTTTTCCCCGTCCTACAGGTGTTTGGCTTGCTTAATGCAGCTTTATGGGGAGGAAATGTTTGGCTTGTATACAAGGATACCAAGTTGCATAACCAATGGAACAGAATTTCTGAAAGTCCAGCTGAAAGAGGAGTATAAAAACAAGTTGATACTTGAAAATGCTTCCACTTCTACACCTCACTGCCAAGATCATAGATTCATTAGGATTTGTTTCAATAACAACTGATAATACTTCATAAAAACTTCTGGGTTTGTACTATGGTTTGACATAAGGTCTTGCATATTCAGTTGAAGCACTTAATTATCTTGAAATATATTATGCCTTTTGAAATTGTGCAGCTCTTCTTATTACAGTTTTGAGGAGCAAAATTACGAGGTTATCTAAATGCTGACCCTTTCTGATTCTTAATATAGCCTTAAAGGAGGGATGGGTGAGAAGCAACTGTATCTGGGTTATTACTGCACCATCTTGAGTTCTAACAAGCCTTGTCTGAAAAATGAAAAGTGCAACCAGGGTATGGAAAAATGCAGTTTGGTTTCTTCCTATCACTGATACCTTGCAAAAGTCACATGAGTAGAACTTGTAGCTCTGTCAGAGTTGCAGTCATGACATGTTGGTTCCCAGATACTCCATTCAGATCACTGTATCAAACCTGCTGACAGGCCTGTAAGGAAGGACATTACTTGTGTGCTCAATTTGTTGTTACTATTGAATGGCTTGGGATGATCTCTGAGGAAGGAGATTTTTTTGGATGAGTTTATACTGAAACTATGAGAGTTTGTATATGTGTGCAACAGATGAATTAAACACTTGAGGCAAAGTTGGGGAGAAAAAATAAAATACAGCCCCAAACTCTTATAAATACTGTAGAAATCAAAGCTGATATATTGTAACTGCTAGTGCCTGAGCTTCTATGTATGGCTTTGAGGTTCACAAACAATGTGTGCAAAATAACATAACTGGAGAGAGATGTCTGAATATGACTGATTTCTTCATGGGTGTTGTTCAGCTCATTCATAGGAAATGATATTTGAGTCTTCTCATGTGGGCTTCTTGCTTAGGTATCTGACTGTGTGTGAATTGCCCAGAATGGATGTTATGGCAAATCTAATAAACAAGCTGTTCACAGGCTGTTTTGGTTTGTTTAAACTATTTGTGATGAAAATAGACATAGTAGTGCATATAAAACACAAATCCTAGTTGTTCTGTGTGCCAGAGCTACTGACTTTCTGATAGTAAATTTACAGTCCAAAGAGTATAATAAAGGCTATATGGCTGTTGCTGAAAGATTGTGCCTTGGGTCCTTACTGCTGTAAGAGATGCAAATGTCTTGGTTTTGTCGCTTCTGGGAGATGGTTTAAGCTATTGCTGACCGAGTTACCTGTGCTACTGAAGAGATTTTCACACTGATGCCTTGGGATTTTTTTGTAGAAAGGACCATCTATTACTCCTGCAGATTATGGCTGTCTGATGCTGCCCAACCCTTCCTTCTGTCACCCCAAAATGGAGGCTTTTGTTGCTTATAATTATCCACCATGCCATTTGAATTTCCTTTTGGAAGAGGTAAGAAGAGTGATGTTCAGGTGTCACTTTCTAAAAGTGACTCTGTTTCTTCCCTATTCCTGGATGGGGGATTTGAAAGCAATGACCTGTTGTTTTCTGTGTAGCAATGTTAGCAATGCTACCACCATGAGAAAACAGGCTGCCTTTCCTTGGTGGCTACTCAGGCACCAAGTATTGTCTCACCTTACAAAGGCCTCTTGAGGGAAGACAAGAGAGAAGCAGTCTGTAGTTTAACACTTGCACCAAAAGTGTGGCACTCAGAAAAATAATACAGTCTTCTCAGAACCTTCCCTCTCTCTATCCTGGACCTTTTCCTGATGAGAACTGCCTCTCAGATTGCAAAAGACTGGGACAGAGGGTTTAGGAAGAACAGTATCATTCTTGCACTTGGAAATGAGATATGAAAGCAGTTACTTCTACTATGAGTTTATTTGCAGGTTGTTTTGTTTGTTTTTGGTTTTGTTTTTGTTTTTTTTTTTTTTATAGCAACATTGGGCTATGACCTAAAGGGCTGATGAAACTGTCATGGTTTTTGACCATGAAATAGTTTTTAGCTTCACACTCAAAAGCCTTTTATACAGATTGGCCTTACTGTAGTGATTGACCCAACTCTCTCAGTGTCCTTGCTTGGGTAGATGTTAATGCAAGTGGACCATGGCATGTGTGTTATTCTAATAGTCCTACACTGTTTGCCCTTCATTTACCATCAGGAAATGAATTATGACTGGGTAGACTCCTGTCAGTGCAGTGGTCTGAAACTGGGTCTTGAAGCTTCTCTGGAAGTACTGATGATAAAAGGTAAATGTAAAGTTTTTCTTTTATCTCTATTACCAGGCCCTGCCCAGCACAATTGCATTGAACTAAAACTGCAGTTTGACTCTCAGGGAGAGGCTGCACATAAGGCAATTGCAATGCTTTGATGTTAGCTAAGAGAGAATGCAAAGCTTCTATTGAAATTTGCAGTATTGAGTTAGTTGATTAGAAATACAAGGTATCACTTTGAAGTCTTCTCTTGCTAGATGTTCTGCTTCTCAAGTGTCCCTTCTGACAATGACTTTTGAGGAGTCCTTTCTGACCTCTTCACTTGCATCAGTTTATTGTTCCAAATACTAACTTTAAATTTTGAATCCTAACTTCTCCTTGAAGTGAGTTCTTCTATTATCTCAGGTTGCTCTGAACTGATTGTTGTCACAGATGGCTTGTTTTGTAATGTTATATCTATATCACTGTGAATAGCTAGGAAGGGAGGGACAGAGAGAAGTTGGGGAAAGAAAATTTACTTTGCTGTAGGTGGGTTTTTTTTTTTTTTGGCACCTTAAAAGTGATGGACCTTCTCTGTTACTCTCTTAGCAGAATTACAGACATCTGAGATAAAAATCTGTGTTATTTCATCATGGTGAGCTATGATAGGATCAGTGGGATAAGGTTACAAAGATCAATATTTAGATGTTTTGGTAATTCCTTTGCTATATTTTAAATTTCAAAGCTAGATCTGAAGCAAATTATTATTTGTCCCTTGATCAAAGTACTGTTTTGAGTAAGAGACTGAACCAAGTTTTTTTTTTCAGAGGGACCTTCTTCTTAACATTCTCTTTTTTGGGCTATTGTTTGCCTTTGCTCACTGTTATTTTGACTTTCAGCCAGAGGCTCGTTGTTTGCATCATTGTGTGTGGTTATTTAAAATACATATTTCATCCTAAAATCTAAAACTTCTATTTCTATACTACCTAAGAAAAAACTTGCTAATTATAGGCTTCAGTTTCGATCTTACAATTCTTTGCAATGTAAGGTTACACATGATGTGACTAAAGTATTTTTTTATTAACCTTTAATATTTTTTACAGAACTATTTTCCTGTCTATTTGTTATGTGCTTATCTATTTTGTCACCAGTAGACCTGTTAGAGTCATTGAGATGGCCTATTTATAAAGTGGTAATTGTGTGTATTTTTGCACACATGAGAGTAGGAATGGATTGGATCAGTTTATACCTCGCTGATGGCTGAGGTCTAGCCAACAACTGAAACAGAGCTGGAAAGCTTAGTATACTATGACTGATTGTTTCAACAAAAACTTAAACTTCATATGCACTTAAAAAGGCACTTTTCCCTTAGGGTTGGAACTTTCCCTTACACTTTTTGTAGAAGAAACAAGTGTGTCCCATCCCCAGAGTGCTGTCCTTCAAAAGACAAGGAGACAGAATATGGCAGGCAGGACTATAGGTGGTAAAACAGAGAATCACAGATATATGGTTAAGTTTTGTAGGAATTCAGGCTGCACGTGTCTGTTCTGCACAGCTAAATGCAGAGCTGGCAACAGGCTGAGGTAAGTGCAATGTGTAGTCCACGACAAGCAAGATTTTAAAAAAGGAAGAGTTAACCACGTGTCCACTTCTGGCTCACTAGGATAAGACTTGTTTCCCTTTGTGAAGGAGAGGGATTGATACAGAGTACTGCTGACTTTGATTGCTGCTGGAGCCCTGCAGCTGAGATGAAATGGAAAGCATCATGCAGCAGGAGCAAGCAGCTGCTCTCATTTACCCTGGACAACCACAAAGGGCTGAGCAGCCTTTGCCTTTGAATTGACATCATGTTCATGCTGGCAGCACCAAAACACTGTGTCTCATGAGAGTGGGGGGAGAAAAAAGACTGTCTGATACACAAGAGTCACCATTGTTATCAGGAGATGCAGTGTGCTTGATCCCTCTGTACTGAGGGAACAAAAGACTTGGAGATCTGCCAGCTCTCTACAGGTAAGAAATCCTCTGCTGGTAACAATCTTTCTTGCAGCCATCAGTGAAAAAAGTTCATAAAAATCCTCTCATACTGCAGGAACTATCCTGGCAGCAGACTGTAGTTATGCAGCTCCAGCAAGGAAAGTGGTGTATGATACCTGGTGAGATGCTGGAGAGGGGGATTTTGGTCAGAAAACCATGGTGGGAAGAAAGGCTGTATAGTGCCAGTGAAGAAACATAAAGCTGAGGGGTCAGTATGGTATAGCAACAGGGAACCCCTTGGTGAATCATCAGCATTAGCAGGTGTTTAAGGAATCTAGTACTTTGTTGTTTAGGGTGCTGTGACAAGTGATCTGAGGGTCAGGCCTCTGTCACAATGCTGAGAATCATTCTGGATCATCTACTTTTATTCTTGCGGCAACATTTAACATGTGTTCATTCCTAACAGGTTTGCTGTATAGCCTAAAGTAAAGTTGTCACAAAACCAGAGGTCAGTTTTTGCTGCTTAGTCACCTTTAAACAGTAACCTGAATAACTAAATTAGTCAAAACCACTCCTACTCTGTAGAATTAAAGGGAAGCTCCTCATATTTCAGATCAAGTCCATGTATACTAATAACAGCTATTGAGTTGCATTTTAGAGCCTGACTCAAATGTGGAATTCCCTTCTTCTGGCATGTCAAGTGAATCCAAGTGTGCCCTTATAAACACTGCCTTCCTACAGACATTAGAGCAGGGGAAAAGAAATTAACATTTTGGACTTGTATTTTCACGACTTTTCCCTATGCTTTTCAGTTGCAATTTCCAAAACTTGCCTGCTCTCAGTAGCACTCCTTGCCTGGATATTTCATTCTTCATCTTGAGTCAGGAAGGCAGTAATACAGAGCTGAGTTGTGTCATCCCTAAAATTTGTGCCCACAAGGGCACAGTCAAGGGTTTTGCCCTTTGTTCCAAGGCAAGCACTCTAGGGGCTAGAGAAATCTGTGCTAAGTATGACCATATTTTTCTTTCATTCTTTCCTTAAGGAAAACCGCCTCTGCCAGATCCTATTCTCTGCTATCCATGTTTTCAGTTAATGTTTCATTTCAGATTCTGCTTGGCTGACACAGAAACTCCCCCTAGTTTCCTAGTTAAG